TCAGGCTCTTAATCCACCACTTCAAAGACCGGCGCTTTCGAGGGATCCATACGAAACACCACTTACACCAAACCCACCTGAATTTGCACCAACTGAGAAGGTGACGGAAGAACGGCTTAAGATGGTGAACTTTGGACCAGAAGGATGGCTGTCAAGCGAGGAATTGAAGCTCTTCAAGAATTTAATTGTCATCAGAGAAAAGGCCATAGCTTTCTGTACTGGAGAAAGAGGACTTTTAAAACACTCTTACGGATTACCATACGTTATACCAGTAGTGGACCATAAACCATGGCAGAAGAAACCAATACCAATTCCGGCTGCAATTAAAGACGATTATGTAGAGTTAGTCAGGGAGCGGATAAGGACTGGTTTATATGAGCAATCAACTTCCAGTTATTCTAGTCCAGTTTTCTGCGTTTCCAAGGCAGACGGTAAATTACAAATAGTCCACGATCTTCAAGAAATGAATAAAGTCACGATCAAGGATGCTGGATTGCCTCCAGCAACGGAAGAATTTGTCGAATCTTTTGCAGGACGTGCATGTTATGGTCTGGGTGATATCATGGGTGGATATGATGAACGCGAATTAGCTCAAGAATCACAACCTTTAACCACCTTTGACACACCTTTGGGAAGATTTCAGCTTACTAGACTTCCTCAAGGGGCCACAAATTCAGTAGCAGTTTATCAAGCTCAGATGATGTGGATTCTTCAAGATGAAATTCCAGAGCATGTAGGAGTTTTTATTGATGATGGAGGGATCAAAGGTCCAGCTAGTACATATAACAACGAAGTCTTAGAAGAAAATCCGGGGATCCGTCGGTTCATCTGGGAATACGCCATAACCTTGGAACGAGTTCTTTTCAGAATTGAGGAAGCAGGCCTTACGATTTTGGGAAAGAAGTTTGCTGTCTGTGTCCCAGCTTTGGACATTGTAGGTCACGTGGTCTGTAAGGAAGGACGGCGAGTTTCAGTTCAGAAGAAGAATAAAGTGAAGACGTGGCCGACTCCGCATAACATAACAGAATTACGGGGATTTTTGGGCATTGTCACTTACGTCAGAATATTTATCAAAAATCTCTCGGAAATTGTGGCACCTCTCAGAAAACTCACGAGAAAAGATATAGACTGGGTCTGGGAAGAAAGCTGTAACAAGTCTTTCGAAAGGTTGAAGGAGATTATTGGGGAAGAAATCACCTTGAAGAAGTTAGATTATTCAAAGGACGCTGGATTAATCAAACTAGCAGTGGACTCAAGTTTTATAGCCGCTGGAGCAGTACTTTTGCAGCAAGAATTAGAAACCGGATTGGACAGACCTGTGCTTTACGAATCAATTGTTTTCTCGCCTGTGGAATCAAGATACTCACAACCTAAATTGGAGCTCTGTGGGGTGGCAAGAATTTTGAAGAAGCTACAGATATATCTTTGGGGTCAACACTTCGAACTTCAAGTTGATGCACAATCCTTAATTCAGATGATCAACTCACCATCACTACCCAATGCACCTATGACTAGATGGGTGGCTTTTATTCAGTTATTTTCTTTTGACATAGTCCACAAGAAAGGAAGTACATTCACCCTGCCGGACGGATTATCCAGAAGACCAATCAGCGACAAAGAACCAGAATTTTACAAGGATCAAGAAGATTTTGACGAAGACAAACCAGTTATTAGGGCTTGTGTTCATATCAATGTATCCAATCTTTCATTTGAGCCTAAGGAATGGGAAGCTTCTGAATATTGGATGGACCTCAAGCGTTACTTAATGACTCTAAAACGGCCAACTGGGATGAACCCAGAAGATTTCAGGAAATTAAAACGAAAATCAGTCAACTTTTTTATTCAAGATGGACGACTTATGCGACGACACTCACCTCTTGGACACTTGGTCATTTACAACCACGATTATCAGTGCAAATTACTCCAAGAAGTCCACGAGGATCTGGGACACAGAGGCCTGGAAGAAACTTATCAGAGGCTGGTTTGCAGATTTTGGTGGCCAAGTCTTAAGAAGCAGGTCAAGCTGTGGGTTCAGAGTTGTGAAGCGTGTCAGAAAAGGGATTCTTTAATTCCTCGAGAAATCAGAAATCCTACCGGCGAAAGTAGCTTATTTGGACGAGTGGCGTTGGACGTCGGTCACATCAAGGCTGGAAGATATAAATATTTACTAGTGGCTCGAGACGATTTATCTGGTTGGGTGGAAGCTGCACCTCTAGAAAAATTGAAAGCGGCAAAAATTAAAAAATTTCTTTTGGAGGAATGGGTCTATCGGTACGGCACAATCAAGACGGTGACGGTAGACAACGGACCGGAATTCAAGAGTGAATTTATCAGTGCAGTCGAGAAAATTGGGGCCAAGTTCAAACCAACAACACCCTACTATCCTGAAGCAAATGGAATGATTGAAAGAGGCCATAAACCACTTAAGGATGCCTTGATCAAGATGTGTGGCGAATCTGGTGGAAAGTGGCGGGAATATTTACCATTAGTACTTTTTTCTGATAGAATTTCCACAAAAAGATCAACAGGTTACTCCCCATATGAATTAGTCTTTGGTCAAAAGTCTGTTCTTCCTGTGGACCTCGAAATGGATACCTATTTGGGAATTGATTGGATGGAAGTCAGTACAACAGCGGAATTATTGGAAGCCAGAACTCAGCAACTCGAAAGAAAAGAAGAACTCTTGGGAATAGCTTACCAGAAACTCCAAGACACTCGAGAATCCTCAGTCAGATTTTGGGATAGAAAAATGGCGGCTAGACTCCGGAATCCTTTGGCTTCTGGCGAAATGGTTTTAACTTATAATAAAAGCTTAGAAGATCAGTGGGGTAAATTATTTGAAAACAGATGGAATGGCCCTTTTAAAGTTAAAAAACAGCTTGAAGGAGGATCTTATATTCTTGAAGAATTGGATGGTGTGGAATTAAAAAGAGCTTATGCTGCCTCCCATATTAAGAGGTTCTATTCCAGAGGAAGGGACTTGGAGGAAATAAGGGCAGATGAGGAAGATTCAGATCCAGACTCAGACTCCCATTCATCTTTAGATTCAGCATCAGATCAAAACTCAGAAAAAAATGAGGCCAATTCAGATTCAGACATGGATTAAAAATTCTTCATTTTTTTATCTTTATCATATAATTTCTTCATTTTATCTTCATCAGTTTCTTTTTGAATTTATTTAATAATAATAATAAAAAAAAAAAAAAAAAATCCAAGCATAACTCATAAAATACCAAAAACATATCAGTTTCATACTCATTTTTGTTAAGTTGGGGGAGGAGATTCATCTCTTATGAACTCAATCTTGAATGAAGTTTTTTTATGTTTTCTTCTCTTGGGAATGGTTGAGGACAACCATTCAAGTTGGGGGAGGAGATTCATCTCTTATGAACTCAATCTTGAATTGAGTTTTTTATTTTTACTTTTATTTTTTTATGTTTTCTTCTCTTAGGAATGGTTGAGGACAACCATTTAAGTTGGGGGAGGGGGTTTCTTTATCTTTTCTTATCTTCTCACATAAAAATAAAAAAAATAAAAATAACAAATCAACCTTTTTGAATTTTATTCAATCTCTATCTCTAATATTAAAATTTCTAGATAAGTCAAGCTAGAGTAGCTTCATAAATCCTTGGATGTATAAGATAAAAAGATTTACTTTCATTTTCTACATGCAAAAGTTTTTTAGAGAACAAAACCATTGGGGCTTCAGGAAACACAAAATCACTTTCATCACAATCGCCTTGAAATCAAAAGTTCACCCACTTTGGAATCTCCTCTCTATCAATACCAGAACGAAAACCGAAGTCGGTCAGTTCAAGCCGTGGGTCTAGATGGAAGCAAATGGATTTTTTTATCAACAAACAATAATGGTATCGGCATCAGTTGAGGATAATGGAGTTGGAGCGAATAGACGACTTGAAAATCAAACAGCTACTCACTTTTGGAATCAATGCCAGCTCAAAAACCAGCAATGAGGCAGTTGAGATGATCGATCTACTGAAGGAAATCAAAGAGAGCACACCAGGATCAGCTCTTTATTATACAAAACCGGCTTTTCTATCAACAAGGGGCGAAGTCGGTACAGGAAGAAAGAGATGATCAGGGAGGGTCCAGAGACAATAGAAAGATACTGGGATGGATGAGATGGACAAGTTTCAAAGGAAGAGATGGATCGTTTCAAAAGAAGTAGGAACCAGATAGAGAAGAGGATGATTGGAGCAAGGAGAGATGGAAGCGTGGAGGAACAATCTATTGATGGGGGAGAAAATCAGCGATAGAGAGAGAACGATCGAGCGATGAAGGAAGAGACGGTGATGGAAGAGACGATGAATGATGGAGAAGATTAAAAGATGGTCGACAGAGGGGATGGTTGAGGAGGTAGATAGAAGGAATGATGAATCTGATGAAGGACAAGAAGGAAGAAAATCGAATCGCGGAGCTCTTTAAATACTGGAGGAGATCGAGGGTCGAAGTCGAATTGTTTTCCCGGGGAACCCCATTGACCCCCCGAGGAAGAAACAGAAACTGCATATAAATAAATCCGATCAATCTGAATTCCTTTAAGATGGTCGATCGACGATGGATGAGTATTGGATCGATGAGCGGATCAAGGGAGGATAGCCGGCTAGAAGAAAACAGGCGCGAGTGATTAATCCAATCGTCGAGGAGAAAGAATTCCTTTATCGACAGGATCGGCGAGTTTTCTTTTGGAAATAGAGTGGGGGCAATACCACAAAACCGGGCCAATGAGAGATTTTTGTTAGACTACACACTACCGGGCCGGGTCTGAAGAGGATGGGAAGATAGTGGACGATCGATTCAAGAGGCCAAGGACAGCTAAATTGAATAGTTAATATAGGTGGAGACTTACCAGCTTAGGAATCACATTGGCAAGAGGATTGGCTAGAAGATAAACGACGAGATCGGTGCAGTGGTGGATAACCGAGTAGTGGATAGTGGGAAGAGCAATACATTACCAGACCAGAGCTAGGAACGGCTAGAGGAAAAATGAGTCCAGGCGGTTTATTTTTCGGACTGCGGAAGGTGATCCGGAAGAGGCAATCGGCAATCGACTAGTGGCGCGGGCCGGCCGCCAGAAAGCTAGAAGGAGAGCAGTGGCGCACTCGTAAACGATGGGGGTTGATAACTGGGGAATCTAAAAACGATGAAGTAGAATGTAAACACTTACCTGAGACGGAGATCCAATCCACAACTAGTCGGCGAGTGCCAATTCAGACCCGGTGGGATTATCCAGAGAGGCCGACAGATACCGGGACGGTTGCTGAAGAACGGACTTTGTAAAAAAAACGAACCAAGCCAATAAGGGTTTTTTTTACGCTAGTACGCTACCGGGCCAAGATTGCAGAGAATTAAGAAGACTTACTAGTTTGAGGATCCCATCGCTGAGGAGATCGCCGGGGAGATCGTGGAGAAGATCGATTGATAGGTGGATAGTCCAGGTGGGGAAGAGAGGAGTTGAAGGAGGGGTATCCGCTACCGGGCTGGTGCAGATAGCCTGGGATATAGTTGAAAGAGGTGATAGGCCTGTGACAGGACACCGAGACGGAGAAGGACTAGAAAAATGGATTGGGAGCGGGTGGCGCGGCTCTCAGGACTACTGCGCGCGCAGCAACCCAAATCCGAGGATGTGAAAGGTCCTGTGAACGGTGCAAGGACTTCCACACCCAGACAACCTGAAAAACTCCAAATTTGAAGTCAACCAGGAGGACCTCAGTTCCAGTCCCCAACTAGGCAACTCTTTTCATACACACAATTCACACCAAGGACATGGGTTCCAATCCCACCCTTGAACAAAATTTATACACAATAAACCTGGGTTCAATTCTCACACAAGGAGTAAAATTCTGAGAAATAAGAAGGCTCCTCTGTTCAATTCTCAGTCTCAACCAAATTAGCCACTAAAATAAAATAAACATAAAAATTATCAAAGTTTATTATTATCATTACAACATCTAAATTTAGATTCTACCATACAAGATACATAAGTTTTAGCCTTCAAACACAGTCATAAAATCAGAATTGACTGGGGACAGTCAATAAGTTGGGGGAGGATGTGGTCATTATTCCTGTGTATGAAGAGAGAAAAATTCAAACTTTTATTATTTATCAATGAAGGACTCAAGATATGGACAAATGGACGTCAGAAATGGAATCTACGGCCAATTTAACCCCTAGTCACTCACTGGAACCACCTTCATATCTCTACTGGATCAGAAGTTACGCAGAATCAAGGATGTCACACGGAGAATCACAGGATCAGAGGCACTCAGATGGGGGGTATATTGCATGGTGGTATATTGCATATTGCATATTGAATTCCTTTTATTCATATTGAATTCCTTTTATACTTACAGAACCACAAGTTGGCCACCAGTTGTACCAGTTAAATTCCCATTTATTCAGCCACAGAACACATGAATTCCTTTCTTACAGCTTACATATAAAAGGAATGCGTTGTAGATAGTCTAGCCAAAATCCCTCAGGATTTTCAAGGATAGGGCAGCTAAAATGCCTCATACAGGGGGTCCCTTGGGGCTAAAATCCCTCATAATTTACTATATAAGGAGGCCTCTGCCTGCCAGTTGTTTCCCTCCTCAGCCCACTCAGTACACATTTTTTGGTGGGACACCTGTCACAGATATTTATTACACAAGAGGTTCACAAGTAGTACAGTTCACAGTCTGAAATATATACACAGTTTCACAAACATTACACAGAAGAACCAGTCCTTTGTTCCAGTCCTGGTTGAAGCATAGTGCTCCCAGTCCCTTTGGGTTCAAGAACCACCTCTATTACATATACAGCATTAAGGAAGAACACAAGTATCAAGACATCAAGACGAGAAACAACATCACCAACTCAATCAATTCTTTGGACAACAAGATCAACCTTCAACAATTATACAACCATCTTTGAACATAATCCATTATCACCAACCAAACTGCCAAGCTTACCTTGGTGGTCTTGTTTTCTGATAATATAGAAAGGCAGAGTTTGCAGCTCATTTCATCCCTTTCTCCATTCAGCAAAAAGGATCTTACAATCACTTTTTGAGTCTTACACCGTAAAATTTGATTTTGGTAGGTCTTGAATCGTATTTTTACTGAGTTTTTTCAGTTGGACCGCACCTGTTTTACAAATTCTCAAAAGTAAAAGGAAAATAATCAGAATATTCTTTTTTAATAACATTACCTTTGCAAAATATATTTTTGTTTGTTTTGGTAGTTTTTTAAATAAATCCAAAAGAAAAGTTTTGAGCCAGTCTAGAAAACCCGGTGTTCTGGATATAACTCGCTCGACTAGCTTAAGTGAGTAATCCCTTAGTTGAACACCGGAATTCATAAAAAAGACTGCTTTGAAGAATTTTTGAACATCTGATCCTCGTCGTTTGGCCGTATATTGCTGTCCTGCATCTTCATACTGTTTGTACTGAGATCTTTCTTGTTGTTCCAGCCTCTTCCTTGGACCGTTCTTGCTAATGGTACTGACACCCTTCGCCCCTTCGTTCCTTGGAAAGACAGAGTTTCACCGTTTTCGTGATATTCCAACGTGCATCCGTAGTCAAATAAGAATGGTCGTCCTAAAATACAGTCCTGAGCCTTGGGTGAAACAAACAGATGGGCTGGTCAGGAGAATCTTCCAATTCCAACTGGGCAATTTTCCGCTACCCCATTTAAGTCGCATCTTGCTCCCCCAACTCCTTTCATTGGTATATCTACTTGTACTAGTTCCAAATCCAGGTCTTCTGCTACTGATCGAGGCATAACGTTTACCATGGATCCTGAATCTACCATAAATTCCACGCTAGCTCCCCCAACTTTGGCTGTTACGTATCCTAGGGCACAGCTATAGTAGCAAGGGTCCGTCGGGTCTTCCACCTCTGGAGTAGTCATAGCTGCCGAGACTTTTGCGGTTTCCGTAGTAATACATGTCGCACTACTCTTTCCTGGGAGTCAGTTCTGAAGTTTTGCAATTATTTGCTCCGTGTAGGTTGGTGAAATAGCCGTGAGTTGTGCAAAAGTTGTTGGAATTTTCAAATGGTCTAACTCCTGCAACAGAGCTTCTTCTGGTGTTGCAGCCTTTTTATTAACTGGCTTCTCTTTACTCCACACTTTCTCTACCACAGGAGTTTTAGGTGTTTCTTCCGTAATTTCGGCAAGCTCGTCTTCTTGATCCACGTCCATATCATCTTTCTCTGGTTCTTGAATCCGAACACTGCGTCTTACTCGTTGGCCTTCCGACCGAGTAATAGCATGGTTGGCTAGAAAGATTTCCGCACCCAATTGTGGTGGATCCCAATCAATGGTTTGAGCAGATGACTTCATGGTAGTGGGTGCCTGGGTTTCTCCAGATTTAAGGGATTCAGCTAATTTCCTTGCAGCCTCTTGCATTTGCGGGTCTGCTGATGCCGTTGCTACTACAGTACGGATAGGTCTTGTAGGGTTCCAAGGTATGTGTTGTCCATTTGGTAAGTACCAATCCTTCCCGTTACGCCTGACTAATCCTTGTTCTTCGTCTTTTAAGAGTTCTTGACATCGATAGGTTCCGTGTCCCTCTTTCTTACAGTAGTAACAACTTTGGGTTTCATACAAGGGTGTTGAAGGCCTAGCATTACCTCTAGAGAATTCCGATTTTTCATTTGATCCCGGCTTGATTGTAGGATGCAGGTATTATGCTTTTCAACTGAGACTTGAGTGAAGCAATTTCCCGCGCCATATCTTCAACTTGTTTGTCCATGGCTTGGCCCGTAGGTGCTTCCGCAATCATCTGATCTCGTTGTTGACTATTTCCTTTCTGTGCGTTTAGTTTGTTCTGCATTAGTTGATTGGCTTCGCCAAATCCCGAGATGTTAAAATATCCAGGTTCCACGATCCGCACTTCCAATCGTGATGCTTCAACCAAGTCTTCCCAGAGTGGCGGTAAGTTGCTGCCGTCCGGTCCTTTTGGAAGTAAATCATAACTGATTAAGGTGCGTTTGATATTTGATTGACTTTCGCGGGAAAATGCGCTCAGAAATAGTATTGCGGCGTCTGATTTCTGATGAATTTGTTTATTAGTTACTAGGTACTTGAGAATGGTGGTGAATTTTCCTAAGTAAGATTTGAATTCCCGATGATCCTTGATTCCGCCATTTACTCCGAATTCTTTCGCAACCTTAACCAGGTCGTTGCAGGTGTACAGGATCGTATTGTCCAGTTCTCCCCATGTTTCGACCATCTCCTTTCGTAATTTTCTCCATTCACATTTCTCAAACCCGTTCATGGCTTCTAGTTGAGTTTTAAGATCCTCCGTCTTCATGAATCGCCCGATTTGTAATGCTTTATCGTAGTCGCTTGCATTAAACGCCCTAGCCGCTCTTTTGAACCGCATCAAGAACTTTCCAAAGTTTCGCCATCGTAAAAAAGTCCAGGTTCTTTGATAATTCTTGGTGCAACTTGAGGGATTGGTTGTTGATATTGTTGTTCCTGATTCGCTGGGTGTGTTGTGTTGTCGATTATACACTGGCTCTTCTGCAT